TAGGTTAGTTTTAGCGCCATTAGGATTCCAAACAATTCAGTGTGCAGTGTAGACGCCCAGTTGTTAATTCTTATGCCTAACTCAACAAATTTATTATCGTTCTTAACTAGGGAGGTGGCAACAAGAGCACATGCAGCCCTGCTAGAAGACTCCTGTTTAGATCCATCAGTGTATATAATTTGTGATAACTTATTACTACCACCTAGGCGAGAAATTTCTTCTTGAGCAGTTGCTTTAACAAGTGATTTAAGGAAGGGATTAATAGCGCCAAGAGGTGAGACGTAGGCCACTAGGAGAGGTAAGAACTCAGAAATTGAGAAATCAGGTCCCTCTCAAATCCAGCCCCTCTCACTAGTGGAAGTTGTCGAAGTTGATTGCAGGTCTGTACCAAGATACCCTTGTGTTGCAGTGTCTGACAGATTGAACCTGCAATCAACTTCGACAACTTCCACTAGTGAGAGGGGCTGGATTTGAGAGGGACCTGATTTCTCAACATCTGAGTTCTTACCTCTCCTAGTGGCCTACGTCTCACCTCTTGGCGCTATAAAAGCTCCATCCTGTCACTTCTTCTCCATATTGTTTCATACTACGGAACAATGCTCTTCTCCAGACTGAGGGACTGACCACCTCAAAACTTTAAGGGTGATGGACTGATTACATCGTCTTCAAGTATCTTCTGCTTCTATCAACTTTTCTGTACTTGACTGAAGAAGCCTACTGTGTAGGCGAAACGTTTCATAATAAAGATACCTAACTGTTGCATATGTGTCTTACCTAATGATATGTACCTGCTGAGCCAGAGTGCTTCCAGGAGCTATTTCTGGTATAACGTTGTGTTGAGCCATCTTCCATTTTGCATGTGGGAGTTTGAAATCTCCAAGGTGTGATGAATGGTTTTGAAAACCGACAAGTTGAAGAATTGAGACACTTATGCAACATATGGGAATCTTTATTGAAGAAACGTTTCGCCACACAGTGGCTTCATCAGTCTTATACAAAGCAGGAAGGTATAAGTAGAGGAAGAGTTTGAGGTAATCAGTCCCTCAGCCTGGAGTGGCTTCATCAGTCTTATACAAAGCAGGAAGGTATAAGTAGAGGAAGAGTTTGAGGTAATCAGTCCCTCAGCCTGGAGACGATGTGTTCAGTCCATCAGTCTTGTAGAAGATGAACTGAACACATCGACTCCAGGCTGAGGGACTAATTACCTCAAACTCCTCCTCTCCTTATACCTTCCTGCTTTGTGTAAGACTGATGAAGCCACTGTGTGGCGAAACGTTTCTTCAATAAAAATTCCCATATGTTGCATAAGTGTCTCAATTCTTCAAATCTCCATGGAGGATAATATTTGGTGTAGGATTTTCTAGCCTAACGAGAGAGCTATCTTAACTGATCTGCGAATTCCTCAGCCGTTGTTGGCGGTGGTTTATGTACTAGGATAATTACTAGTCCCTCAGCCTTGATAGAAGGTGGTCAGGTCAGTCCTTTACTCTGATTATTATTATTATTATTATTATTATTATTATTATTATTATTATCATTATTATTATTATTATTATTATTATTATTATTATTATTATTATTATTATTATTATTATTATTATTATTATTATTATTATTATAAAGCGCTAAACCTACAAGGATCATACAGCGCAGCTTCCTTACTCTGAAGCAGTACCTTCTTTCAAGCCTGAGGGACTGAACATCTCAAATTACCTCCATTTTTTTCCAGTCTCCAGTTTCATAACTACCTCTGTATTCGACTGAAGAAGCCTGCTGGCAGAATAAACGCTTAGTCAATAATAATGCATACGTGTCGCACATGTGTCTTATTAATTCTGCCAGCAGAATGGAAAACATGAGGAGAGCATGTGTTTTACACCGAAGCTCCTGGAACCATTTAGTTAAATACAGGATGCAAAGCTCATCGCCAGAGAAGCAGACACCCAGAAGCGCAGGATCCTGGAATCATCACTTATCTGTATATCCAATAATTTCATCCAGAACAACAGCTTTTACAACATAGCTGAACCTCTTACCAGGAAACTTCATCATTATCCTACATAGCAACAGACCTACTGAGCCATGCCGGACGGATCCTTCTCAAATGTTACCTCTTCTCAGACATCAGCTTCAATATTCCTCACCTGATCCTTCACGTCACTAAACTCCCTACATATACTTACGTACTCTCTGCTCAGATAGATCTGTTTATGACTTGAAAAAACGTACTGTATAGGCAAAACGTTGTCAATCCCATTACCTGGAGTTTACCTGGAGAGAGTTCCGGGGGTCAACGCCCCCGCGGCCCGGTCTGTGACCAGGCCTCCTGGTGGATCAGAGCCTGATCAACCAGGCTGTTACTGCTGGCTGCACGCAAACCAACGTACGAGCCACAGCCCGGCTGGTCAGGTACCGACTTTAGGTGCTTGTCCAGTGCCAGCTTGAAGACTGGCATTTGTGTATACTTTTACTTCGTGTTGGTATTTTATACCATTTATCTCCTTAAGAGGTGATCAGTCCTTAAAACATAAGCATACTTTATATACTAGAGCAGAAGTGATATGAATAAGCTGGAGTTGGCGTCACAAGTGAGACTTCTCTTTACCATGACGCAATGGTGTTGCTCTCATTCATTCTTCCAGATTTACCAGCCAGCACCTGAGTTTCCCTTGCATCCCCATTCCTCCACGGCCCGCCCAGGGTGGGGACATCCCTTACTCTCTTCTTCATAATCTTTCTTTCCCTTGTCTGGATATTTTCCTAGACACCAACGTCAGCTGGTCCACTGGCGTCTTCCTGTATGAGTTTAAGTGTTTTCTCCTGCTTTCAATCTTGAAACCGGATAAGGATTATTCTCAGCACAGCTCTTACAGAGCTACTGTTCTACTTCGTTTCTTGGTAAACTCATGGAGCATTTAATTTCTGCACCCTTGTCCTGGTGGGTCTAGAAACACAACCTTCATCTTTGTTGCAATAAGGGTTTTTGGGGGGAAAAAGCCGGGTCCCTAAAATCCTTGTTTTGGGTTTTTTGGAATTTTTAAGTACATTAGAGCTTGGGAATTTTTCCTTTGCAAAAATTTTGGATATTCGGGGTTTATTTGATTTGTTTTCCCACCTGCTTCCTCTATAGGTTGTGAAGGTATTGTTTATTTCTCAATTTCGTTTGCATTGTTTTAGTTGGCCCCTAACCGCTAGTTTTTTGTGCATCCGCGCTCATCCCGTGAGCGTTAGCGCCAAAAAAAACACACACATACACACACGAGAGAGAGGGGTGGGTTGTTGCATCTTCTTGGGCTGCAAGAAAGGCCTTTTACTCAGTTCCCACAAGGATTAGGCAGAAGCTAAGCATCAGGCTATAAACAGGAAGGGCACTGCAAGGATCGAGAATACCTACAGGAGGCAACGAGTTGGTACGTAATGATTTCACAATGGGCACCTGCGAGAGGGGGTCCCACAGGGGGCGATCCTTGACCATGCTATTTTTGGTATATGTAACGCGTGATGGGAAAGGGTTCGACTCAGAAGTGTCCCTGTTTGCAGATGATGTGAAGTTAATGAGGAGAATTAAATCAGATGAGGACCAGGCAGGACTTCAAAGAGACCTGGACAGACTGGACACCTGGTCCAGCAAATGGCTTCTCGAATTTAATCCTGCCAAATGCAAAGTCATGAAGATAGGGGAAGGGCACAGAAGACCACAGACAGAGTATAGGCTAGGTGGCCAAAGACTGCAAACCTCACTCAAGGAGAAAGATCTTGGGGTGAGTATAACACCGAGCATGTCTCCGGAAGCACACATCAACCAGATAACTGCTGCAGCATATGGGCGCCTGGCAAACCTGAGAACAGCATTCCGATACTTAGTAAGGAATCGTTCAAGACACTGTACACCGTGTATGTCAGGCCCATACTGGAGTATGCAGCACCTGTTTGGAACCCGCACTTGATAAAGCACGTCAAGAAACTAGAGAAAGTACAAAGGTTTGCGACAAGGTTAGTTCCAGAGCTAAGGGGAATGTCCTATGAAGAAAGATTAAGGGAAATCGGCCTGACGACACTGGAGGACAGGAGGGTCAGGGGAGACATGATAACGACATATAAAATACTGCGTGGAATAGACAAGGTGGACAAAGACAGGATGTTCCAGGGAGGGGACACAGAAACAAGAGGCCACAATTGGAAGTTGAAGACACAAATGAGTCAGAGAGATATTAGGAAGTATTTCTTCAGTCATCGAGTTGTCAGGCAGTGGAATAGCCTAGAAAATGACGTAGTGGAGGCAGGAACCATACACAGTTTTAAGACGAGGTTTGATAAAGCTCATGGAGTGGGGAGAGAGAGGGCCCAGTAGCAACCGGTGAAGAGGCGGGGCCAGGAGCTAAGACTCGACCCCTGCAACCACAAATAGGTGAGTACAAATAGGTGAGTACACACACACACACACCAAAAAAAAGAAAAGAAAAAACCAGGATTACAGAGGTCTCAATGGTCTTTGTGAGACCCCATTAAGCATTGTTATAACACTAGAAAGAAATATTAATAATTTCGTATTTTATATTTACTTCATATAGTTTGTTGTACACAGTACAGTAAAGAATATAATCTCAAAAAATATCTTACTACCACTAATTCTTTATTTCAGATTCTTCATATAGTTATTGAATGCAAGTTTGGCAAGTAAGTAAGTAAGTAAGTAAGTTTATTCAGGTATGCACAAATACAGTTACACAGAATTATCATACATAGCAGCATATGTGCAAAGTACCTGGGATAACCCAAAAAGTCAGACAGAGTGACTTATTTCCATTAGGGTCCATTGGCAGTATCTCTGCTAGTCATGTTCCTGACCCCATTGGAAATAAGTCACTTTTGACTTTTTAGGGTTATCCTAGGTAATTTATACTATGTATGACGACTGTACTTACATATACCTGTTCTTAAAGTTATTTACTGTTTGCAAAGACATAAAATAAATAAATCAATAAATAAATTGCTTCCTCTGTGGTCGAAGTTTGTTCCCCGGACTCGGTGAAGCTGGACTTGAGACGGCGTCTGCTGCAAGTGGCCCTGGAAACACCAACATCAAGTAGAAGAAAAAAAATAACTTTGTTATACTGAACATTGTTCACTACTGTTACCCACAACAACATGAATAGTAATAATGCTCGGCAGCTCTCGTATTCATAGCTATATTTCCAAATGATGTTCTTGTAAAAAAATAAGCTTGGGTTATTGTGGTTCAGGTTAATGAAATGAAGTCACTTTCTATTTGTTTGCATGCCGTTGAAGAGAGTTATATGATACAAGGTATTAGACCTGTCCTTACCTTCCTTGGATGAAACCTTACTGCCTTCCATTCCTTATAACTCCCACTAGTTTGGCATTATAATACTAATAATATAAGAACCCTAATAGAAATAAATCACTGAATTTTTTGGGTTATCCTAGGTAATTTACACTATGCATGATGATTGTACTCATGTGTACCTGTGCCTAAATAAACTTATATTTCCCATCAGTGTGTGTATTATACATAACTGTGCAATCCTTTTACTAGAAAAGTTAAGGCTGTTCTGGCGTGGGGTCCAGTTGACCTAATTAGGAACTTTTTGTTCCTGTTTCTTTCCGTATTCGCAGCAGCTTCGGGCAGTATTTCTTCCCTGGAAACTGGGAAGCAGAGCTCAGTATGGCATAAGCTGAGGTGACCTTGTAAATGTGACAAAGAAAAGAAGGGAAGAGGGTGGTACAAATAAATTATCTGGACTATACCTGGAGAGGGTTCCGGGGGTCAATGGCCCAGTCTGTGACCAGGCGTCATGGTGGATCAGGGCCTGATCAGCCAGGCTGTTACTGTTGGTCGCATGCAAACCAACGTATGAGCCACAGCCTGGCTGGTCAGGTAAACTAGTAAATATCAAATTTATATATATTGTTAAGGTGGAATATGGTTTCTGAGTGTGCTTTTGCCCTTAATGCACCAAAGAAGAATCTAGCATGTGGTAGGTATATAAGGATTTCAACTTCTCAAAAGTATTGCTCATGAATAGACTGACCCTCTACTTTCTCTTTAAAAACTTGTTTTTAAAACTTTTCCTATACTCAATATGTCACGTCTTCAGAAAAAAAAATCATAATGATTGAATTGTTTGTAAAATACTGGTACAGTGGTGGCTTTTAATCACACCATTTTTATTTATTTATTTTTTTTTTTTGCAGAACTGCTGTTCTACTGAAGTTGCTAATTCAAGTTGCCCATATTTATGAAGTAACAAACTAGAAATGAGTGGACACAAGTCATTCACTCTTAGTGTTAATTCTAAGGTAAGCTGTGAGTTGCTAATGTCAAGTCACCCTGAACTGTAATCAGTTGTAATGAGTGATGTACCATAGTGTGCATAATTTCTTGGCAGTTACATTATGAATATAATTACAGCCTCTCCTCACTAAGCAACGTACTCGTTTACCGACGCCTTGGACTTACGATGGGCTTCTCTGACCAGTATTCATACCTAAATAATGTATATTAGAGCTGATTTCCTATATTCTGTTTTTTTCAATATACAATACACTACTGTATAAACACTTAAAAATATACCAGAAATGCTATAATGGTGCACAGGTGACATTAAAACAGTATCAGAGATGTAAAGTAAAAGGACACAAGTGCAACTAATGTGACATTTTATTGTGGCAACGTTTTGCTCTCCAGGAGCTTTATCAAGCTTGATAAAGCTCCTGGAGAGCAAAACGTTGCCACAATAAAATGTCACATTAGTTGCACTTGTGTCCTTTTACTTTACATATTGTCGGTAATTCTACCAACTTTATTACAGTATCAAAGATGGTTGACACAAACTCACTACCATTATAGTATGCTCCTCACTTAGCGACAAATTCGTTTAACGGCGTGGTCTTAGTGGAACTCCGTCGTTAAGTGAGGAGAGGCTGTATAAAGTGTAACCTCAATATTCGTATGTCCTTATATTCATACAACTTGATATTTCCCCACTTTTTCAAGAAGAATTTGACTTGGTATTTGGATGTTGCCCTGATATTCAACCTAAATAAAATGGCTCATTTGGATGAAATCAAAGCATCATGCACTCAGTTGATCAGCTTTCATTCATTAAGCATCATTTGTAAAAGCTCTGTGAAATTTTTGGGTAAAGTAAAAGGACACAAGTGCAACTAATGTGACATTTTATTGTGGCAACGTTTCGCTCTCCAGGAGCTTTGTCAAGCCGAAATTTTTTGGTATTTCATTGTTATTCTCAGGTGTTTTTTTAAATATTTTCATTGAAAATAATTAATCATGGCCCCAAAAAAGAGTAGTGACCAAAACAAGCCTAAAACGGAAGCAGTGAGAACAACAATTAAAGTGAAAAAAAGAACTCATTGCTAAGTGGGAAAGTGGAACATGTGTGTTGGACATGGCCACTCAATATGGTATGGCAAAATCCATCATATTGTCCATATTGAAAAATAAACAGGCAATAAAAGGAGCTATGTTGCAAAAGGAGTGAAAATTCTTGCTGTGAATAGGTCACAAATAATTAAAGAACTGTAAAAACTTTTTTTAGTGTTGATTAACGAAAAACAATCGGCCTGTGACAGTATTTCTGAAACAATAATTTGTGGAAAAGCGAAGCAGTTATATAGTGTTCTTAGGCAAGACACCCTGGGAAACAGTGCTGAAAGTGATGAATTTAAGGCAAGTAGGGACTTGTTTAATTGGTTTAAAAATAGGAGTGGGATTCATAATGTAGTAAGGCATGGGGAGGCTGCCACTCTAACAGAGATGAGATTGAAAAGTTTGTTAAGGAATTTAAAACCCTATGTAGACATTGAGGGATTTATTCCTCAACAGTTTTTTAATTGTAATGAAACTGGCTTCTTTTGGAAAAGAATGCCTAAGAGAACCTACATCACACAAGAAGAAAAATCATTACCAGGACACAAGCCATGAAAGACATTACCACACTCTGTGTGGTAATGCTATGCCTGGAGTATACCTGGAGAGGGTTTCGGGGATCAATGCCCCTACGGCTCAGTCTGAGACCAGACCTCATAGTGGGGACTGCAAAATTAAACCATAATAATAATAATAATAATAATAATAATAATAATAATAATAATATTTTTATTTCTACAAGTACATGTACAAGGTATACAGGCCTAGCTGACATCACTGACATACAGTGGACCCTCGGCTAACGAACGCATCGCATAACATTAAATTCGCCCAATGAAGCGTTGGAGCGTAAAATTTTTGGCCTGGCTAACGATAAAAAACTCGCCCAATGTGATTCATCTCGAACCTGTCCATCCAGCCTGAGTGCCTCAGCTGCCCTGCTGTTATTGTTTACAAGCTAGGGTGGCTGGTTTCATGCATACATTCGATACATTTTGTATTACAGTGGACCCCCGCCTTACGAACGCATCGCGTTACGTTAAATCTGCAAAACTTTGCCTCGCTTCATGATAAAAAACTCGCCTTATGTGATTCATCCAGGATGCGTCCCACGTGTGGCCTCAGCCCCAGTGTTTACAAGCCAGCCAGTACAGTTGCATCTACGCATACATTCGGTACATTTCACATTATCCCAGTGTTTTTAGTGCTTGTAACTGCAAAATAAGTCACCATGGACCCCAAGAAAAGGGCGAGAATTAGTATGGAATTGAAAAAAGAGATTAAGGAAATGTGTGCAAAGTGGGTTGAACTGCAAACCTTTATGGATCAAAATCACCCTGACACAGCTGCTGCAAGCCGTGTTGGCAACCTGTACAACGACAATGTTATGGCCCATTTTAGGAAAGTCTTAAAGGAACGGGAGGTACAGAGCTCTGTGGACAGATTTGTTGTGTGACAGAGGTCCAGTGACTCTCAAGCTGGTCCTAGAGGCATTAAAAGAAGAGGGGAGGTAACTGCAGAAAAGGACTTGCTACCTCAAGTCCTAATGCAAGGGGATTTCCCTTCTAAACAATAATTTCCACACTCTCCCCTCCTCCCATCCCATCAATCATCACCAGATCTTCAATAAAGGTAAGTGTCATGTATTCTATTCTTAGTAGAGTACAGTGGACCCCCGGTTAATGATATTTTTTCACTCCAGAAGTATGTTCAGGTGCCAGTACTGACCGAATTTGTTCCCATAAGAAATATTGTGAAGTAGATTAGTCCATTTCAGACCCCCAAACATACACATACAAACGCACTTACATAAATACACTTACATAATTGGTCACATTCGGAGGTAATCGTTATGCGGGGGTCCACTGTACTAGTAATTGTGCATGTCTTCTTCAGTTTGTGTGTATTAAAATTAATATTTCATGTGGTAAAAAAAAATGTTTTCTTTCATACTTTGGGGTGTCAGGAATGGATTAATTTGATTTCCATTATTTCTTATGGGGAAAATTAATGATAATTTCGGCTTACGATGAGCTCTCAGGAACGGATTAATATCGTAAGGCAGGGGTCCACTGTATTCCATTGTTTATAGTGCTTGTAACTGCTAAATAAGCCACCATGGGCCCAAAGAAAGCTTCTAGTGCCAATCCTGTGGTAAAAAGGGTGAGAAATACTATCGAAATACTATCCTACCACGGTCAGCTGCTGCTGCACCACCATCAGCTGTTGCTGCACCACTGTCAGCCGTACTACTCGAAGATGTTGAGAGACTGTTGTTGGTGTGGCTTAATGAGAAACAATTAACCCCAGAGGGTTAGCCACCCAGGATAACCCAAGAAAGTCAGTGAGTCATCGAGCACTGCCTAACTTATTTTGATTGGGGTCCTTAATCTTGTCCCCCAGGATGCGACCCACACCAGTCAACTAACACCCAGTTGAACAGGAAAAGATGCCTAGAACTAGTGCTCATATTGGTGAATTTAAGGCCAGCAAAGGTTGGTCTGAGAGATTTAAGAATCATAGTGGCATACACAGTGTGATAAGGCATGGTGAAGCTGAAAAATTCCAACCCCAACAAGTGTTCATTTGTGATGAAACAGGCCTGTTCTGGAAGAAAATGCCAAACAGGACCACATTACTCAGGGGGAAAAGGCACTTCCAGGACACAAGCCTATGAAAGACAGGCTAACTTTCTTGTTTTGTTGTAATGCTAGTGAGGATTGCAAAGTGAAGCCTTTACTCATGTATCACTCTGAAAATCCCAGAGTGTTCAAGAAAAACAGTCTCTTATCACTCAGTACACCTACCATCCGACTTACGACCTGCTCGACTTGCGACCACTCGACTTACGACCGTGTTTTTTTTGCCAAATTTCTGGGAAATAAACAACTTTTTGTGTTGTACACAGTGCTTATCCTAAACCTTACAGTATAAAATACAGTACTAACAGCATAAAAAGTAAAGTAAAACATGAAATACCAAAATAAAATAATAAAATAAAGTCTTTACAAAAATGTGATGTTGATATTCAGTAGTAAAGTTCGACTTACGTCCATTTTGACTTACAACCAGTTTCTCGGAACCGAACTCGGTCATAAGTCGGATGGTAGGTGTACTCTTCAATAAAGGTGTCATTTTAGTATTTATTTATGTATTTATTGTGCATGCCTCATTGTTTCCTTTGTAGGGAAATGTGTATTTCATGTAAAAAAAAGTTTTTTTTTTTTTTTAATACTTTTGGCTGTCTGGAACGGATTAATTGGATTTCCATTATTTCTTATGGGGAAAATTAATTCAGCTAACGATAATTTCGTCTAATGATGAGCTCTCAGGAACGGATTAATATCGTTAGCAGAGGGTCCACTGTACTACTATATAGAAAGCTGCTTGTTATGCAGAGCATTTCAGGCAGATTAACTCAGTTTTGTCCCAGGATGCGACTCACACCAGTCGACTAATACCCAGGTACCCATTTTGCTGATGGGGAACATAGACAACCGGTGTAAGGAAACACATCCAATGTTTCTACTTTTGCCGGGAATTGAACCCGAATCTTTGCCGTGTGAAGCGAGAGCTTTAGCCACCAAGCCATGGGGCTAGTCTACCACTCTGAAAATCCAAGGGTGCTTAAGGAAAACAGTATGATAAAAAGTAAACTCATTGTAATGTGGAGGGCTAATGGTAAAGCTTGCCTTATGTGTGAATCAGTACCTTGCAGGAAAAACTTACCGTTAAGGGCACTTCTGGTAATGGACAGTGCTCCTGCTCACCCTCCTGGCTTGGAGGAAAATTTAGTGGATGAATACAGCTTCATTAACCCTTTCTCTGTAGATGAATGGTTCAGAGAACCGACCTGTTGATAAATTAGACACATGTGCAACTCTTGGGTATCTTTATTTAGAAAATGTTT